CGTTCCCCAAATCTCGAGAGCCAGACTCTCACTAGGATTGCTTTCTTAAAAATCAAAGAGGCACTGCTATCCGAATCTCGAGAGTCAGACTCCCACCAGGATTACTTTCTCAAAAATTGAAGAGATACCGCTATCCGAATCTCGAGAGCCAGACTCCTACTAGGATCATTTTCTCAAAAATTGAAGAGGCACCGTTTTCTAAATCTCGAGAGCCAGATCCCCAATAAGATTTCTTGTTCAAAAATTGAAGAGGCAACGCTCTCCGAATCTCGAGAGCCAGATCCCCAACATGATTGCTTATTCGAAAACCGAAGAGGCACCACTCTCCGAACTTCGAGAGCTAGATTTCCTTGGATAAAATTTGTCTGCAATCTTCACACGCAACATCAGCTTTCCAGATACCACATATCACTTTTTCAAAGTGCTTTGACAAAGTTATAACATGTAAAGCTTGCAGCTCCCACTACATTGCTATGACCAAGAAGGGTAAAAGAATGGCATTACTACTTGTTGTTAGGGAGACTCCTATTTATGTCGACCTTCATCCTCCATGGACAGGCAGACCTGCAAAAATGCTCAACCCTTCCTTATATTTGAGAGGGCACTCCCAACGAAGCCTTACGAAATACTCAGCTTTCTTCCCCCCAATAATACCTATGCAAACCAGCCACACCAGAGCAAGAGTATCTCATATCATCAGGGTCAAAAGAAAGAGTATCCTATATCATGTTTTTTCCCTATCTTTTCCTTTGCCCTTGTTCTTACCTACAAGACAAAGAGAAAAAGAGCAATCAGTCAGCACTTGGAATCAAGCTTCCAGTCAGGAACTGACTGCCTGGAACCCCTTACCTGATTACTTACCTGGCATTGCTCTCGAGTACTCATCTTCAACATCTTTTGCTTCCAGAAAAGATACCACATCTCCTTGAGGAACAGATAGGGCAAGTGAGAAGGATACAAGGAAGCATGTGGAGACAAGCGTAACAGAACGCGTACCGATACATCCATTACTTTGTCAACAGCAAAAGTATCTTATATCATCAGGGTCGAATGTACTCTAGATTTGATGGACTTGTTTTCACCCTCAAATTCTTGAGTCGCCCTTATACTTTAGAGGAAACTAGAAAACCCTTCAGCCCAGTTCAAGAATAAACTTGTGGAAAGTTACTTCTTCAAAAGCAAAAGTATCTCATATCATCTATTCTCCTTTTTCTTCTCTTTATCCTTCTTGATACATGCAAGATAAGGAGCAGGAGAACAATCAGCCGGAACTTGAAATCAAACTTCTAATCTGGGACTGATTGCTTAGAACTCTAATTGCTTACCTTGTCTGTCACCCATTTCGGTAAATCTCCTAGCTCGGTGAGTTGGGGGACTCCTACTACATGGTTTGTATCGCGCTTGACCAAGCATGAAACTACAAGTAAGCTTCAAGTCAAATTGATATATTACCTTGTGCATCTCCACCAGTTAAAGATATCACCCCTGGATGGAGGAAAAGTACTTCTAAAGAAGATGCCACATCTACTTATGAGACAGATAAGGTAAGTGAAGACGATACACATTTCGGTACTTAGAAGTTTCGTGATTACTTAGTGGCTTGGATCTTACAAATCCACAACTGAGGAGCTTCCTTCACTCTGGAACTTAGGGGAGCACTGTTTGTACCATACTTGACCAATCCTGAAACTAGCAAGCATCGATCAACGTTATACCATCAAGGACCCAGAAGAGTTTCCCTCCAACCAGGAGGCCAATCACAGTGCGACACGTGTCGACATCAAAAGCCAATCATAGCGCGATACGTGTCAACATTGGAAGTCAATCACAACACGACACGTGTCAATGTTAGAACAAAGCTAGAAACTCTCTTCTATAAAAGGAGATTGTTCTCCTACAATATTTCCTAATGTTATTTGTACTAAATCATTCACTTGTACTCACTAAAGGAGAGCTTGAACCCATGTACTTGTGTAAACCCCTCACAATTAATGAGAACTTCTCTACTCCGTGGACGTAGCCAATCTGGGTGAACCACGTACATCTTGTGTTTGCTTCCCTGTCTCTATCCATTTACATACTTATCCACACGAGTGACCGTTGCAATCTAGCGAAGGTCACAAACTTAACATTTTCTGTTGTACCAAAGTTCTGACATGGACATGTGTCGCGCTATGATTGGCTTCTGATGTCGACATGTGTCACACTTTGATTGGCCTCCTGGTTGGAGGGAAACTTTTATGGGTCCTTGACGGTATAAAGTTGACTGGTGCTTAGTAGTTTCGGGATTGGTCAAGTATGGTACAAACAGTGCTCCCCTAAGTTCCCGAGTGAGGGAAGCTCCTCGGTTGGGGACTTGCAAGATCCAAGCTGCTAAGTAATCATGAAACTTCTAAGTACCGAAGTGTGGTATCATCTTCACTTGCCTTATCTGTCTCATTGGTAGATGTGGCATCTTCTATGGAAGTACTTTTGCTCCATCCAGGGGTGGTATCTTTAACCAGTAGAGATGCACAAGGTAATGTATCAATTTCACTTGAAGCTTACTTGTAGTTTCAGGCTTGGTCAAGCGTAATACAAACCATGTAGTCGGAGTCCCCTAACTTGCCAAGCTAGGAGATTTGCCGAAAAAGGTGACAAACAAGGTAAACAATCAGAGCTCCCAACAATCAGTCCTAGATCAGAAGTTTGATTTCGAGTTCAGGCTGATTGTTCTCATTCTCCCTATCTTGTAGGCAGCAAAAATGATAAAGAGAAGAAAAATGAGAAGAGATGATATGAAATACTTTTGCTTTTGAAGAAGTAACTTTCCACATGCTTATTCTTAAACTGGGCTGGAGGGTTTTCTGGTTTCCTCCAGAGTATAAGGCCGACTTAAGAATTTGAGGGTCAAAACCAGTCCATCAAATCAAGAGTGCGTTTGACCTTGATGATATGGGATACTTTTTCTATTGACGAAGTAATAGATGAATCGGCACGTGTTCTGTTGCGCTTGTCTCCACATGCTTCCTTGTATCCTTTTCACTCGCCCTATCTGTTCCTCGGGCAGATGTGGTATCTTTTCTGGAAGCATAAGATGTTGAAGATGAGTACTCGAGAGCAATGCCAGGTAAGTAATCAGGCAAGGGGTTCCAGGCAGTCAGTTCCTGACTGGAAGCTTCAACCGCCACTTCGGCCCATACATGGATTGAGTTTGAAGTCTCCAGCCAACAAACTCTATTGACTGAAGACTTAGGGGACTACATTATGTACCATATATTAGGCTTCCACTACTGGGCCTAATGAAAAATACTTGGGGGAGTTAGCCCATTATTTATGTACTGAAGAGCGAACCATTATTCTATAAAAAGGACTCCCTCACTTTCATTAGAGAGCACCCATTATTCATGTATTGATGAGCGAACCCTTATTTTATAAAATCGACACCCTCACCTTCATTAGAGAGAGACTTTTAGCCCATCATGTATATATTGAAGAGCGAACCCTTATTCTATAAAAGGGACTTCCTCACCTTCATTAGAAAACATCGTCGCCAGTTAAGCAACTGCCTCACCGTGAGCATCACTCCTAACCCATCACTTATGTATTGAGGAGTGAGCCCTTATTCTATAAAAGGGACTCCTTCACCATCATCAGAGAGCATCGCCGCCTGCTGAGCAATTGCCTCGCCGCAAGCATCAACTCTAGCCCATCATTTATGTATTAAGGAGCGAGCCCTTACTCTATAAAATGGACTCCCTCACCTTCAACGCCACAAGTGGAGCCAACCAAGGCAACATAAGCCACAAGCCGAGCAGCCTCGCAACATGTACTACTTCTAGTTGAGCATCATTTCACATTGAGCACCGCCTCATATCGAGTATCAGTTTTAGACGACATCTAGTTACTTCGGCCCACACACAGACTGAATTTCAAGTCTCCAGCCAAAAGACTCGCTTGACTGAAGACGTAGGGGACTACTGTTTGTACCATATTTAGGGCCTCCGTATTTAGAACTCGTATAAATACTCGTGGGACTCAAATGGAATTATGTAATAAATGAAAGGGCAAATATGCAATAAGTGAGAAGCCCTTATTCTATAAAAGGACTTTACATTCTCCTCATTAGGAAGGTCAAGGTTTAGGTCATGGGAAGAGAGAAAACATCTCAAAGAGGGCAAACATAGAAAATAGGCTAGAGAGCACACTGCCTCTAGCCTTCTTGTATATTCACCATTCAGAGTGAAACAATATCAACATCAGTATGGACATAGCCCAAATATTAGGGTGAACCACGATACATCTTATGTTGTTTACTTTCTTGCAATTTCATAGTCGGATTTATGTTGTTCCATGACCCTTTTGATTTTGTGCATCAACATTTGTACCATATTTAGGCCTTCGTATTTAGACCTCGTATAAATACTCGGGGGACTCAAATGTAATTATGTAATAAATGAAGGGGCAAATATGTAATAAGTGAGGAGCCCTTATTCTATAAAAAAGACTCATCACTCTCCCCATTAGGGGGGTCAAGGTTTAGGCTATGGGAAGAGAGAAAACATCTCAGAGATATCAAACACATAAAATAGGCTAGAGAACACACTGCCTCTTGCCTTCTTGTATATTCACCATTCATAGTGAAACAATATCAACATCAGTATGGACGTAGCCCAAACATTGGGGTGAACCACGATACATCTTGTGTTCTTTACTTTCTTGCAGATTCACGATTGGATTTATGTTGTTTCAAAACCCCTCCGGTTTTGTGCATCAACATTTGGCGCCGTCTGTGGGAAACGACACGAAAATCTATGTCGGTTCTCTTTCATTTTTTAATCTCACCACTGTGAAACCTCACCACAATATCCACCATGAATCTGCAGAAACCCCAAGAACCAAACACCTATAGAGTCACTGCAAAACCCATGTCTTCCACTGCAGCTTCCGGTCACGGTAGTAACGTTGGAAACGCGACAGCACCCTCTCTCTCTCCCCCAAGTCCCAACCGTAGGTTTCAAACAGAAACATTGAGATCTCGCAATGACGGCTAAAGCAAGAAACCCGAGAAAGACCCGAAACCCAGATTTGGTTCGTGGGGTGGGTAGGTTTTTGAGGCCCAAGACGTACCACAAGTGTGATCTTTGGGCTATCAAGGTAAAAAATGGCGGTGTTTTTCAAAGCCCTGACTCGAAGCCGGTGGTTGAGACCGCATCTGAGAAAGCCCCAAAGTTCTACCCCGGCGATGACATCAAGAAGCCACTCGTCAACAATCACAAGCCAAAACCCACCAAACTCAGGATGAGTATTACACCGGGGACGTTGTTGATTATATTGGCTGGGAGGTTTAAGGGCAAGAGAGTTGTTTTTCTTAAGTAGCTTCCATCTGGGTTGTTTCTTGTTACCGAACTAGTAAGATTTGGTGCAAAAATGATGACTACGGCTTCTAGAAGCCATAAACTGATTAGCACCACCCTATTCCTCATGGTTACCAACCCGAGTTTGTGTACCTATCGTATGGCTTTGCTTCTCGGGGAGAACTCTAGGAAAATTGGATTCGGCTGCGAAGAAGAAAGATGCAGATTAGGAAGAAGGTCTGACCTCTCCCCTTCTGTTCACCTCGCATGCTCTAGCTGCTAGGGACCTCCATTCGCACGTGTGCCAGCTCAATCAGAACCTGGGATTTAATTCTTTTTGGAGCCGGAGTGAAAGACGCAGCTGGCAGAGAAGCAAGGACTGTAGCTGAGATAGGTGGTCGTGTGGTTCCAGAACCGCCGCGTTCGGTGGAAGACCAAGCAGCTTGAACGGGTTTATGACCTTCTTAAGTCATTTTTTTTCCAGCTGGAATGCTTTCAGCGGCCATCCTTCGAGCATTAAAGGAGGCACGTGCTCCACCGAGGCCACGAGAACCCCTACCACATTGTTTTTTATTTATGTCATGATTACCCCTGCTGTTATTAATCATGTCATCAAGCGACATATCCAAAGCAGTCGCTCATGGAGAAAAGCCGAGAGAGTGAGCAGAAAAAAAAATAAGGAGAAAAGCACTTGGATAAGTATACTGACCTTTTACAGCTGGAGTACACTGACCTTTTGCTAGGGTTTTGTGCTGCTTACCCATGCTGTAAACCTGCAATGCAACAGAGAAAAAGAAAAACAGAAGAGAGGGATCCACTAGTTCACTCCCTGAAGAACCCACGTTCTGATATCATCCCACTGACCTGACAAAAAGATAAAATGCTCTCCTTTAATATCCTATCATGTTACCCTCCTTCTAGCGCAAAAAAAAAATGGGGCAAAATGTCGGTAAGCCCAAAATAGTGGGCTGGAATGTTATGTGGAGGGCGAAGGCACATATGCCCAAAAGAACCAGGCCCTATGGCTTCAAACTCCAACCTTCATCCCTCCACTTAAGGTTCACCCTCCATTATCACAAACCAGGTGATCAAAAGTACGTCCAGTACTCCAAAATTATTCGGCAGCCTGCCGCTATTATCACCAACTAGGTGATCAAAAGTACTTCCAATACTCCAAAATTATTCAGCAGCCTGCCGTTATTATCACCAAGCAGGTGATCAAAATTACAACTTGTCTTCCAAAAAATCATACATGAGCATCACCCATGACAATCACCATCATACATGAGCATTACTCATGTCAATCATACATAAACATTCATGAGCATCACTCATGTCAACATTCATGAGCATCACTCATGTCAACATCCATGAGTATCACTCATGTCAATTAACATAAACATTCATGAGCATCAATCATGTCAATTATCTTCGAAAGCTTCATTTACAGAGCTCTAACTTCGAAAGCTTCATTTATAGAGCTCCAGCTTCGAAAGCTTCATTTACAGAGCTCTAACTTTGAAAGCTTCATTTACAAAGCTTTAGCTTCGAAAGTTTCATTTACAGACCTCCAGCTTCGAAAGCTTCATTTCCAGAGCTCCAGCTTCGAAAGCTTCATTTACAAAAGCTCTAGCTTCGAAAGCTTCATTTACAAAGCTCTGACTTCAAAGCTTCATTTACAAAAGCTCCAGCTTTAAAGCTTCACTTTCAAAGCCTCACCTATAAAACTTCACTTTCAAAGCTTCACCTACAAAGCTTTAGTGCATGGTATACAAAGACTACCTCTGAACAACCGCCACTTCGGCCCATACATGGATTGAATTTGAAGTCTCCAACTAACAGACTCTATTGACTGAAGACTTGGGGGACTACACTATGTACCATATATTGGGCTTCCGCAACTGGGCCTCATGAAAAATACTTAGGGGACTTAGCCCATTATTTATATACTGAGGAGCGAACCCTTATTCTATAAGAGGGACTCCCTTACTTTCATTAGAGAGCACCCATTATTCATGTATTGAGGAGCGAACCCTTATTTTATAAAAGAGACTCCCTCACCTTTATTAGAGAGAGACTTTTAGCCTATCACTTATGTATTAAGGAGCAAACCCTTATTCTATAAAAGGGACTCCCTCACCTTCATTAGAGAGAATCGCAGCCAGCTGAGCAACCTCCTCGCCGCGAGCATCACTCCTAACCCATCACTTATGTATTGAGGAGCGAGCCCTTATTCTATAAAAGGGACTCATTCACCATCATTAGAGAGCATCGCCGCCTGCTAAGCAACCGCCTCGCCGAGAGCATCAACTCTAGCCCATCATTTATGTATTGAGGAGCGAGCCCTTATTCTATAAAAAAGACACCCTCACCTTCAACGCCACAAGTCGAGCCAACCAAGGCAACATAAGCCACAAGCCAAGCAGCCTCGCAACATGTGCTACTTTTAGTTGAGCATCATTTCACATTGAGCACCGCCTCATATCGAGTATCAGTTCTAGATGACATCTAGTTACTTCGGCCTACACATAGACTGAATTTCAAGTCTCCAGCCAAAAGACTCGCTTGATTGAAGATTTGGGGGACTACTGTTTGTACCATATTTAAAGCCTCCGTATTTAGAACTCGTATAAATACTCGGGGGACTCAAATGTAATTATGTAATAAATGAAGGGGCAAATATGTAATAAGTGAGGAGCCCTTATTCTATAAAAGGACCCATCTCTCTCCTCGTTAGGGGGGTCAAGGTTTAGGCCATTGGAAGAGAAAAAACATCTCAGAGAGGACAAACACAGAAAATAGGCTAAAGAGCACACTGCCTCTAGCCTTCTTGTATATTCGCCATTTAGAGTGAAACAATATCAACATCAGTATGGACGTAGCCCAAATATTAAGGTGAACCACGATACATCTTGTGTTCTTTACATTCTTGCAGATTCACGGTCGGATTTATGTTGTTCCAAGACCCCTCTGGTTTTGTGCATCAACATTTGTACCATATTTAGGGTCTCCGTATTTAGACCTCGTATAAATACTCGGGAACTCAAATGTAATTATATAATAAATGAAGGGGCGAATATGTAATAAGTGAGGAGCCCTTATTCTATAAAATGACTCCTCACTCTCCTTATTAGGGGGTCAAGGTTTAGGCCATGGAAAGAGAGATAACATCTCAGAGAAGGCAAACACAGAAAATAGACTAAAGAACACACTGCCTCTGGCCTTCTTGTATATTCACCATTCAGAGTGAAACAATATCAACATCAGTGTAGACGTAGCCCAAACATTGGGGTGAACCACGATACATCTTGTATTCTTTACTTTCTTGCAGATTCATGGTCGGATTTATGTTGTTCCAAGACCCCTCCGGTTTTGTGCATCAACATTGGGCCTCAACATTTAGGCCTCATCACCCAGCCCATAATTCTGTAAAAAGAGGAGCCCCTTATTCTATAAAAGGGGACTCCTACCCCCTCACAAATCAGACCAGGGATACCCCCAAAACATACAAGCCACAACGCTCACAAAGAAACTTTCTCAAACTCTCTCTTTCTCTAAGGGATCCCCCCTCACACTTGTATTCCATACATTCATACAATGAAGAGAAATACAATCAACATTAGTGTGTACGTAGCCCAAACATTGGGGTGAACCACGATACATCTTTGTGTTCTTAGGCATTTGCATGATTCACGGTCGGATTTACGTTATTCCAAGACCTTCCGGTTTTGTGCATCAACATTTGGCGCCGTTTGTGGGAAACGACACGAAAAGCTATGTTGGTTCTCTTTCATATTTTTATTTCACCACCGTAAAACCTCACCACAATATCCACTATGAATCTGGAGAAACCCAAGAACCAAACACTTACAGAGCCTGCAAGTCCAACATGGTGGAGCAGTGCGTGGCCAACGCAAGGATCGGTGCACCATCAGCAAATCGAAGAAGTGTAAACCCCCGTAGTGGTGAGCTCTAATTGGTTAAAAAGCACCGGACTTCAAACGGAGGGAGCAGAGCGAGAGAGAGAGAGAGTATGTGTGTGTGTGTGTGTGTGTGTGTGTGTGTGTGTGTGTGTGTGTGTGTGTGTGTGTGTGTGTGTGTGTGTATGTGTGTGTATGTGTGTGTGTGTGTGTTAGAGAGAGAAACAATGGACAATCTCTTCACTCTATCTTCTTCAACCTCCACTTTCCTTTTCCCCAATCCAAGAACAAAGCTTTCTTTCTCTGGGTCCGCATCGCCCCCTCGACCCCTCCAATGGGGCCATAATCCGTCGAGCTTCCATCGTCTGGTTCCGTAACGATTTACATGTCCACGACAACAAGTGCCTCAACTCGACCAACAACGAGTCTGTATTGGTCTTGCCCGTCTACTGCTTCGATCTGAGGGACTACGAAAAATCCTTTTCTGGGTTCAATAAGACCGGCCTATACCGGGCGACGTTCTTGGTAGAATAGGTGGCGGACCTCCGGAAGAATCTCCAGGCGAGAGGGTTCAATCTGGTAATCAGAATCGGGAAGCCCGAGACTGTTTTTGTGGAGCTGGCAAAGGCTATAGGCGCCGACGCCATTTATGCGCACAGAGAGGTTTCACATGACGAAGTTAAGGAGGAGAAGATGATCGAGGCGGCAATGAAGGAGGAGAATGTGGAGGTTAAGTACTTTTGGGGAAGCACTATGTACCATGCGGAGGATTTTCCGTTTAAGTTGGAGGATATGCCGACGAAATACGGCAATTTCAGAAAGAAGGTGAAGGGATTGGAGGTGATGAAGATGATTGAAGCTTTGGATCAGATGAAGGGTCTGCCTTCTCGCGGCGACGTGGAGCCTGGTGATGTTCCAACATTGATGGATTTGGGACTTAATCCGTCTGCTACTACGTTTCAGGTCAAAAGATGAGCTTGATGAGCTTCAAGGAACTCAAGTTTTGAGCATAACTGTTCATTTCGTGCTTTGGTGAAAGGAATGGCTTTGAATAAAGGGGTTCTTCTTAACCTAAGACAAGAGAAGAGAATAAAATTTGAGAGATTGGGATTTGACTGGGTAGG